TTCAGCCACTCCGGATGGAGCGTACTGAGCGTCTGGTAGCAGTTGTCACAGACCCGTTGGGGCTCCATCTTTCGATAGCGCAGTGGGTAGTGGTGAGTGCTGCAGTCGCTACAGACCACCGAGCCACAGGCGCGACAGTGGTGACGCCGAAAGAAGATGGTAAACTCGCGCATGCAGCCCTGGCACATGCTCACCCGGTAGTCGTGCACCCAAACGGGCGCCCGCTCGCCCAGCGTCGACACGGCATTGTTCGGGTTGGTGTTCCTTCGCGCCGTCTCAATGGAGGCGCTCGAGGTAGTGGAGGCGCTGGATGGCTGGTGGTGCAGCGACTGGTGGTGAGGACCTTCCGGGGTAGAGTGGTGGTGCTCATCGGTGGAGCTCATCGATGGGGAGTGCTCCAGGTCATGGTGATGGTGGTGGTGGTCACTGCTGAAGCTGTCCTGAAGACGACTGGCGCTTCGGTGCGGCGATGAAGATCGACGATCGAGGCTGGAGTAGGAAGAGGAGTTTCCGCAGGAGTTGGAGTGGCCTCGGGCAGTCTCAAATGAGTTCTTCTTGGCGTCATTTTCCGCAATGGCTCCCTCCAGTGCCTCTACCCAGGCTGCCCTCTCATCTTTGCTACGAGCCATCAGCGCAAAGGAGCGTCGCATGGAGCGAATGACAAACTCCCGATCCGACTGATTGCTAATGTCCACCTCCATGCCGTCCAGAGGAAACTCCTCATTGAGGCGGATCATCTCGTTCATCACCGGCACCAGGTACAGTAGAGCGTCGTTAAACTGCAAAAATCCGAAAGTTAGCATCCTATTTTAAAATGTTTTCAAGAAATCCTACCAAAATAAAGTAACGCTCCTGCACCTCCTTCCTCGAGATCTTCAGCAGCGGCCCCTCTTTGATCAGCTCCCGCCCCGGCTTGACAATGGCGTCCGGCGTCTTGGAGATGATTCGGTTCTTCAGCTCGGCCAACTTAAGCGCCTTCTCCGCCTGGTGTGACTCTCGATTGACGTGCTCCACCACCTCGGTGACCACCTTCAGCGCCCGTTGGGTGTTCTCGTAGTCGGGGTCATCGCTCTTTAGCTTCTTCAGGTACGTCGTAATCAGCAGCGGGTACTGCGGTAGCCGTTGGATCGGCTTGAGGAGGTAGTTCTTGATGGACAGCTTCTTGCAGCGGTCAGTGCGCTGAAAGGCGGTGAGGGCGGCGTTAAAATCGGGAAACAACTCCGACGCCTCGTCGAGCATGTGATTCAGCTGGTCAAACTCGCGCACAAAGATGGAGTACTCTTTGAAGAAAGGGCAGATTTTGATCATAATGTCGGAGATCTTCGGATTGTCGTCCCAGTCGACCAGCACCCGCTGCTCCAGCTCCTTCAGCAGCCGCTCATTGATGGGCAGCACCTGGTCGAGCGGGCGAAAGAACTTGTTGAGGAAGTAGCCGTTGACGGTGCCCTGCACCGCCTCCCGAAACTCCTTGGTCAGCATCTGCAGCACGTCGACGTAGTCTCGCTCGGTGAGCCACATCTCATAGGCGAGGTAGTACTCCTTCGTTGGTTCGCTGCCCTTGGGCGTGGCGCTGGGCAGACGGGACAGATTCTCCGGCAGTGACTGCGGATTGGGACTGAGGACGACCACTTCGCCCAGAGAGCTGCTGGACGTTGCCAGTTTTGAGGGAGCACAGCCATCCTCTACTAGTACCTGGCCTCCACTTTCTACAGCAGCAACGGTAACTGATGAGGAGGCCACCGAAGTGCCCAAATCGCTCGTCCTGGTCACCTCACTGACCTCTGACTGCATGGCCTCTTCTGCCGCCTCCACCGCTGCCGCTATCGGTGCGGTGACATTGGTGTAGAAGACGGATGATCGTTTGGAGGTTGAGGTCGAGGAGGTGGAGGCAATGGAGGAGATGTGCGCCTGGGGAATTGAAGTCAGCGAGGCGGAGGAGTCAAATGAATAGGAGGAGGAAGGTGAGGAGGAGTGCGTGTGAAAGATGGACGAGGAGGTGTCGGAGGAGGCAGAAGAAATGGTGCTGATGACGCTCTAAAAAGGAAAGGGAGAGAAGGGAAAACAGAGAAAACGCANCAGATAACACACAGAAACAAACAGATAAAGTAGATAGGATTTATTAAATGATAAGAAGTTACGAATAGAAGAGAAACAGACAGAAAAGTTACGGGAGACAGAGTGAAACAAGGAGAAAGAGAGATAAACATGAAATAAATGGAAAA